AACAACCCAGACAGTTGACATTAAAATAAAGACATACTGTTACTTCTAGATGCATTTGAGACCAATCAAGCTTGAATAGCCTATAGTAACAGATGTTATCATCTCCTCTATCATCTCCTGTCTTGTGTGTGGGACTGTGTTCTCGTAGGTGGTTACGCTGCTCAAAGTCTCGCTATCATGACTGATGCTGCTCATCTTCTCACTGACTTTGGAAGCGTTTTGATCAGTCTCTTCTCGCTGTGGATTTCCTCCAGACCGCCATCCAAACATCTGACCTTTGGATGGCATCGATCAGGTGTGTGTGGGTCCTTTAGTCTGCTTTGGCCAGTAGCCAAAAATAAAAATGGGATTTAAATTGGCAACTGCTTAAGAGTCTGATTGGATCATTACTGATCATTTAACCCTATTGGATAGTGTGTAGCTTTTCATTTCTTAAAAAAAAAACATGTAGGAAAACACATTATGGCCATATTGCAGGAGGACTACGATTCATCCGGCTCAAACTGAAAGAATGTTTGGGATTAAAGAATTATTTTCAATCACCAATTGGCACCTCTGAGTCCAGACCTGAAATTCATTAAAATTATTTGGGATGTGCTGGAGGAGACTTTACAGAGTGCTGGACTTTTGTATTCTCAATACAAGATTTGGACCGAATAGCCTTATTCCAAATTGATGAAATTCATTATTTTTCTAAAATTTTACAAACAATAGCCCATAACGACAATGTGCAAGAAATTTGTTTGAAATCTTTGCAAATGTATTAAAAATAAAAATAAATAAATAAATAAGTACATAAGTATTCACAGCCTTTGCTCAGTACATTTTTTAATCACCTTTGGCACCAATTACAGCCTCAAGTCTTTTTGAGCTTGATGCTACAAGCTTTGCACACCTATTTTCAGGCAGTTTCTCCCACTATTGTTTGCAAAACCTCTCAAGCTCCATCAGGTTGGATGGGAAGCGTCCGAGCACAGACATTTTCAGATCTCTCCAGATATGTTCAAGTCTAGGCTCTGGCTGGGCCACTCAAGGACATTCATAGTGTTGTCCCGTAGCCACTCCTTCGTTATCTTGGCTGTGTGGATAGTGAGACACTATCCTGTTGGAAGATTCCTGTCCTGTCTAGAGTGCTCATGAGCAGATTTTCATCAAGGATGTCTCTGTACATGGCTGCTTTCATCATTCCCTTGATCCTGACTAGTCTCCCAATGCCTGCCGCTGAAAAACATCCCCACAGCATGATGCTGACATCACCATGCTTCAATGCAGGGATGATATTGAGCGGGACCTGGTTCCCACCAGACATGATGCTTGCCATTCAGACCAAACAGTTCAATCCAATTTTGTTTCTCATGGTCTGAGAGTCCTTCAGGTGTCTTTTGGGAAACTCCAGGCAGGCTGTCATGTGCCTTTTACCGAGGCGTGGCTTCCGTCTAGCCACTCGATCATACAGGCCTCATTGGTGGAGTGCTGCAGAGATGGTGTTTCTTCTGGAAGGTTCTCCTCTCTCCACAGAGAAACACTGGAGCTCTGTCAGAGTGACCATCGGGTTCTTGGTTCTTGGTCACCTCGCCTCTCCCCCAAACGCTCAGTTTGGCTGGACGGCGAGCTCTAGGAAGAGTCCTGGTGGTTCCACACTTCTTCCAATTACGGATGATGGAGGCCACTGTTCTCAATGGGACCTTCAATGCTGCAGATATTTTTCTGTATCCTTCCCCAGATCTGTAGCCTGGGAAAACCCAGACAACTTCTGGCAAATTTAGATTCGCTCTGCAAGTTAGTCTGGCAAAGCTCTCATTCAAGCCCATTTCCAATCTGTCGAAATCGAGGCACCAATCAGAAACGTTGGGGCGGGCTTTACACAATGATGACAGCGCTGGGATTTTGAAGCAGATTTTGTAGCCTACATTATAAAGATGGATGCCGCCGTCGAACATCACTCGTTCGAATCAGCTATCACGTCTGTTTTAAGCGATTTGAACGTTTCCTTTTTGTTAAAAACCGAGCAAAGAACAACACTTGGAGATGTTTCTCCGCCACTCTGCATACGCCATCTCCTTCATCGCTCTGATTGGTTTTAGGTCTATCCGCGACGTCTGTTGGTGACGCCCCTCTTGAAATGATTTGTCATGACGCTTTGCTAGGCCAGACCTTTGCTACCAGATCTGTGCCTCGATACAATCCTGTCTCAGAGGTCTACAGAATATTCCTTGGACTTCATGGCTTGGTTTGTGCTTTGACATGCACTACTTCTTCTTCTTTAGGGTTTAACGGCAGCTTGCATCCGTTGCACTACTGCCATCTTCCGGATTTATTGAAAAAACTTCCTCTACTTTGTTCATTCTCCCCACTTTCCAGTATTTCCTTCAATCATGTCCCTGTTATTCTGACTATTCCTAATTCTTCCATCATCTTTTTCCTCTGTTCTTCATTATAGTGTCTGCAACTTGTCCTGGAAATTTGTAATACACATACAACCTACTTAATCGGACTTCTTCACCATGGACAACTTAAACAACTTCCAGTTGTTAAAAATAATAACTACAGTCTCTCAAGGTAATTCCCTGAATACTTTCAATACAATACAATACTTCCCTGAAATAAGGTGATGGCGTCCCGTCAAGAAGCTACTATCACTACCTCAATCACACTTGAGCCATTTCTTTTATTGTCTTTTGAGCGTAGAATCTGTTTCTCATACCTGACATGACTCTCAAGTTTCTCTTGAGATCACTGGCCACAACAATCAAGTGAGTCTCCTGAATATAAAGAGACATGTACATTTAAATCATACAGTTGAGTGAAAATCAATGTCACTCAAGTCTTCTTCGCTGTGATTTGTTCTGGTGATTGGTTTGTAATGATCTAAGCTAATCATATACGACTGTTAGTTCTAATGTGTTAAGCACTTTTTGGTTAAGTATGGCCTTTGACCTGAGCATCCTTGGTCTGCATTTCACTGTACATTTAATGTTCAAAATGCCCATTACATAAAATGTTTCTATCACAAACTCAACAGGACATGTTCTATAGTTTCTGCAACCTGACAATAGCAACAAAAAACAATTAGGTGCTTCCTTATAATGTGTAGTGTACAGTACCATTCAAATTACTGTGACCTATCCTTAATCTGGTCATAACTATTTCTTTTTTTCTATTCACTTCCCTATTCTTCACAGCCCCAACTTTATTTTTAATAGCATACAAACATCTCCGTTTAGTTTCCCTGTCCCACTGATGTTGCCGTTCTCTAGTGGCTTCTTTCCATGTAATACTCTTTCCTTCAGATTTTGACAACTTAATATTTGCTTCAATATTCTCTTTTTTAACAGCTTGTTTGGCTAATTTGTCCATTATCTCATTACAAACAATGCCAAAATGAGCAGGAATCCAAATCAGTTGAATCTCATAGCATTTTCTCCTTATTCTTGTGTATATTATTAATATTGTATTCAGTAAATCCTGATGACTATTAGACATACCTGTCTTGAGATTGTATTAAGTTAACACTGAATCACTTTCGTTTAAAGCTTTATTTATTTTGTTTTTCTCAATCCATTCTAGTGGGTTCGTCTGCTTATACCACACCTCTTTGATTAAAAATGTAAACTGCAGATCCACTCTTTGCTTTTTCTGGATCCTTTGATCCATCTGTTTAAATCCGAACATCTTTATATTTATAGTCTATATATCCATACAATTCAGCTGCCAGATCTGTACTATTGCTTACTGTTTTGACTCGAAGTAACTTAAAATCAACTTCCATGGTTTCTAGCTTCCATACCTTGATATCAGGCCATATTACAGTGGGGCAGAGCTCCTTTTCATACACTCCCAATTTTCTAGCTGCCTCATCTCTCGTGATGTAGTACTCGAGTTTGGTCCCGAGACTGATTCCTGCATTCTCTGTCTCGACTCAGACTCGTCTCGAACTTGTTCCTTCAAAGACTCTGTCTCGACTCGGACTCGACCCTTCAAAGACTCGGTCTTGACTCGGACTCGGCATAGGCGGTCTCGTGCCCATCACTAACGACTGCTCTAAAACAATTCCCAATCTAGCTTAGTCTGTAGGCCTAACTGTTGATTACTAACTGGGGTGATATTAAATCATGGATATCAAAACTGATATTTTGGGACAAAATCTCGACTCAGACTTGCTTCCTCAAAGACTCGGCCTTGACTCGGACTCGACTGTATTTGAAAACCAACGGACTTGGTCTCGACTTGGACTCGACCCTTCAAAGACTCGGTCTTGACTCGGACTCGACTGTATTTGAAAACCAACAGACTCAGTCTCGACTCGGACTCGACCCTTCAAAGACTCGGTCTTGACTCGGACTCGACTGTATTTGAAAACCAACAGACTCAGTCTCGACTCGGACTCGACCCTTCAAAGACTCGGTCTTGACTCGGACTCGACTGTATTTGAAAACCAACAGACTCGGACTCGACCCTTCAAAGACTCGGTCTTGACTCGGACTCGACTGTATTTGAAAACCAACGTACTTGGTCTCGACTTGGACTCGACCCTTCAAAGACTCGGTCTTGACTCGGACTCGACTGTATTTGAAAACCAACAGACTCAGTCTCGACTCGGACTCGACCCTTCAAAGACTCGGTCTCGACTCGGACTCGACTGTATTTGAAAACCAACAGACTCAGTCGGACTCGACCCTTCAAAGACTCGGTCTTGACTCGGACTCGACTGTACTTGAAAACCAACAGACTCAGTCACGACTCGGACTCGACCCTTCAAAGACTCGGTCTTGACTCGGACTTGACTGTATTTGAAAACCAACAGACTCAGTCTCGACTCGGACTCGACCCTTCAAAGACTCGGCCTTGACTCGGACTCGACTGTATTTGAAAACCAACAGACTCAGTCTCGACTCGGACTCGACCCTTCAAAGACTCGGTCTTGACTCGGACTCGACTGTATTTGAAAACCAACAGACTCGGTCTCGACTCGGACTCGACCCTTCAAAGACTCGGTCTTGACTCGGACTCGACTGTATTTGAAAACCAACAGACTCAGTCTCGACTCAGCCTCGACCCTTCAAAGACTCGGTCTCGACTCGGACTCGACTGTATTTGAAAACCAACAGACTCAGTCTCGACTCGGACTCGACCCTTCAAAGACTCGGTCTTGACTCGGACTCGACTGTATTTGAAAACCAACAGACTCAGTCTCGACTCGGACTCGACCCTTCAAAGACTCTGTCTTGACTCGGACTCGACTGTATTTGAAAACCAACAGACTCAGTCACGACTCGGACTCGACCCTTCAAAGTC